AAACCCTGCCAAGGGGCCGCCACAGCGAAGCTTGCATCCTCGAGTCCATCTTGCTTGGCACGCTCACGAAGTAGCTCTGCCAGCAGAGACAGTAGCTCCGTCCTGTTATAAGCAGGGTTTTAGGGTTTAGGGTTGAGGGTCTAGGGTTTTAGGGTTTAGGGTTTAGGATTTAAACCTTTAGGGCTTAGAGTCTGGCTATTAGGGCTTTCCCTAAGGGTCCAGGTATCTCCTTACGAAGGTCCGGAATTTCCTAAGGAGTCTCAGAAACTTCGAGTTACGACCCCTAGGATAGGGTTGATTTAGGGCTTCGGATGGAGGGCAGAGGTTTTTTTTTGGGGGATTGCTACAATGCTGCAAGGTTTTAGGGCTTCGGGAGTTGAGGGTTGTCCGAATTTTCGGCCGCGTTCATCCACAACCGAAGTAGTTTTTGGAACTTCCTGCGTGTCTGTTTCGAAGAAATGACAAATGGTTCCAAATGAACACCGAGCCTGTGCATCGTCTTCATCAACTCACGCTGATGCTTGTCAGGCTTTGGGGCACTGGAATGGTAATAGTGGCAAAAGCCACAGGCATCACCTTTCGGGCACTGCCCTTCCTTTGCGAAGTAGATGCATGGGCGGCTGCACAAGGTTGGGTGTCCGACGCTGCCCCGGTTTGGTGCCGGCGGATCGCAAACTGTTGCGTCCTGCCCGTGCCGGAGCGTGCGAAGATGACGCTGTGCCCATGCCTGGTATCTTCTAGATTGGGGAGCTTGGTTTACGCCACCCGAAAAGGGATCTACAGCAAAACCATGGTTTTCATTATAAGTATTTTAAAATTATGATTACGCTCCTTGATTCGTTGACAAGAGCCGAGATGCATCCACCACTGGGGTCTCCGACTTTGCCACGGATGCCCGAATCGGAGAAAAGCTCCTGGCCCGACCACGACGAGCTTCGCCATCTACCTTTCGAAGGGCTTAGGGTTTAGGGTTCAGGGTTTAGGGTTTAGGGTTTAGGGTTTAGGGTTTAGGGTTCAGGGTTTAATGTGTTTTGAAGGGTGATCACGAACAAGAGTCTTAATTACTGTCAAAGGTTCTTATTAAATCTTGCCTCCCCTTTTTTGAGGCCCTTGAACCTTGCCGTCATCGGCCAGGTCAATGAACGTAAAGCGGTAGGTGATGCGCGATCCAGCCATGGCTTGGTGAGAGTCTCGGTAGGATCCTACAGCAGGTTCCTGAAAGAGCTCGGGCAGCTGTGGCACTTGTGAAGAATAGGGTTTGGATTTAGAGTTTAATTAGGGACCCTAAACCCTAAACCCTAAACCCTAAACCCTAAACTCTGTGTAACAACACAGGTTTCATTCAGCTAAGGTCCAGTCCGAAGACTTTTGGGAAAAACTCAGATTTCTTGAGACTCTGGCCTACCCAATGAGTCTCCTTGCGACATTCCGAGTACCCGTAGCAATGCTCAGCAATACAACATAATAAAGCCTTCGGTAGATCCGCTCTCTTGGGTTTAGCAGCTTAACCCAAGAGAGCGGCTCTATCGAAGGCTTTATTAAGTTTAGCATAGTAGTTTTATAGGCTAGTACTTAGGATGTGGGAGAGCACCAACAGCCCTACACGGTCTTGAAGCTCCCCGACCTTTCCTTGCTAGGCTTTCAAGAGTTTGTTGTCTATCTTTTGATGTAGCTTCCTAAACCCTAAACCCTAATCAGTTTTGGGTTTGGCCTATCGTTTTACAATGCCTCGTAACATCGACCGAAGCCAAGGCCCTCCTCTAGACTAGTTTAGGGTTTAGGGTTTAGGGTTTAGTGTTCGGAGACATTTGGGTTTTTGCGACCGTTCACTGAAGCTTCCGTTCGGGTTCGGGGGCCGTAAACTCTGGGTGCCCAAACAGCTAGAAAAAAACAGTGGCGTAAAGTCCTTGATAATTGCAAATTTAATACTCTTGTGGGGGTTCCTTATTATAGTTATAGTATGATATACCCCAACCCCTATTCTAACTATTAAGGCCCCTACATCAAGCCATGACGGAGGGACCTCTCCACCCTAAGCCCTAAAGACCAAAACCCTCAATCCTAGCCTCAAACCCCTAAACCCGAATCCCCAACCTCTTCTGTCTGGTGCATAGTAGGGAATGGG